AATTGTAGCTTGGTGCTTCCCTAATAAACCTTGTAATCTGTGAGTTCTGTGTGGCCACTGCAGCGAATTATCGAACCCAGGAGAGAGGTGGCAGGTGCTTTGGGAGGAACGGTTGGAGAAAGGGCTGGAGGGAGGCAGCATGTCTGGCCTTGCAGTGATAGGCCTTGGGTTACTGCTGGTAATCCTGTCTTCCTCTTATAGGGTTAGAGGAGGTCAGAACATGTGGCCTCCTTGCCATTTTTGCAAAGGCTTCATTTGACATCCCTTACTACTGTAAATCTTACTGCTTTTAACAGTAACTTCACTCATTGAAAAACAAAACTCACTGCTGTCGAGTTGGTTCCGACTCATAGTGATCCCGCCTTGGGTTTCCGAGGCAGTATCTCTATGGAAGCAGATCGTCCAATCTTTCTTTCGAGGAGTGGCTGGTGGGTTTGACCTGCTAGCCTTCTGGTTAGCAGTCAAATGTCTTAGGCACTATGCCACCAGAGCTAAGCTCTGATTGATTTACTTTAATGTACACTTATAAAATAGAACTATAATCATTTTAACATATTTACTATTATATATTAAGTTTCTTTAAGAAGTCTATTCTCTCAAGTACTTAAAACTTTCCACTCTAATTTTGTTCAATTATCAAATCTGTCCTTCAAGAATACTATAAAAACATTACATTTAATCCCAACCCAAGTTAAACTGTGAAAACTAAAAAACCAAACCCATTGCCTTCAAGTCTATTCCAATTCATAGCAATCCTGAAAGACAGAGTAGATCTGCCCCAGAGAGTTTCTAAGGCTGTAATCTTCATGGAAGCAGACTGCCTCATCTTTCTTCCATGGGTTTGAACCACTGACCTTTTGATTAGCAGCCAAATGCTTTAACCACTGTGCCGCCAGAGTTCCTAGTTAAATTGTGGTAAATATTAATTCCTAGAGTAAGAATATATTAAGGAAGATTTACTAAGATCTAAAACTTATACTTCCAAAAATTCCAATTAAATTTTTCAGTATTATGAAAAGTTTCATAAAGGCTCAATCGTACAGTAGTAAAAACAAAGAATAATAAAGACAAATGTCAAATATTGATATTCAAAACATGAGATTATTATTTAAGATGGGAAAACACTATTACATTCATGACTCTTAGATCTTAGAAAACACTATTATATTCATGACTACCTAGATACATGAAGTAATAAAAAGTCTATCTCCCCACATTATTAGTACTCCTGAAGTAATCCTAAAATCTTACCTGTCTGTTAGTCCATACGCCATATCAAGCATGTCATTCTCTTCATCAGTAATGGTATCTAACTTCTCATATATGTGACCTTCAAAGATAAGGTGGCAGGTAGAACAAGCCAAGGTTCCCTCACATGCACCTACAAAAGCAAACAACAATGAACATACTCCCTTCTACATTAATCATGTTTTACTAAAACATGTGTCACTATATTACATATTCCCAGCACTGGGAATATATAAATGATAGGACTTTATATAATAACATGTGAGGAATTAGAAACCAATCAGCTCTACTTCTAAATAAAGTTAACTATTCTTCCCTCTCAATCTCTCCTTATAATCTGGGCAGAATCAAATAACTTAAAATCACATAGATCTTAAATAATGAGTTATTTCTCCTGTCCATTTTTAAGAGTCATTAATTTGACAGCTATTTAGTTTATTTATGCCTGTTATGTGCTAGGCACTGTGGAAAAGAGAAGTGAGAATTATATAGTCCAACAAAACTGTGACAGAATGTGCAACAGTCCTCTCCCAGGGGTGACCCAGGATTTGCTTGAAAACCTCCTGATGAAGAAATATACAATGTGTAAACCAGCCAATATCCCAGCCAATTTCATACTTGGTTCCTACTGAGCTAAAGTGTGTCACTCTGTAACTTCCACCTACAGATACAATTCTATTCCAAGGAATCATATTCTTCTTCTAAATAATAGCTTTTTTTTTTCATTGTAATTTGGGTGAAAGTTTACAAAGTAAATTTATCTTCTATACAGCAGTTCACATACACTTTGTCTCATGGCAGTGACTATAATCTCCCACAATGCAACAGCTCTCCCCCCACTTCTTCCCCATAGCCACCTCTTCCCTGTGTCCTTCCCTCCATGCACTCCTACCCCCTGAGATGTCTCTCTGTGCATACACAGCCCTTCTATTCTCCCATGATTGATCTTTCCAAGCAGTTTACCTAGCTAATATAAATGTTCAGCTCTTTTGCCTGTATTTTGTAATAACCTTTCTTATATTTGAGACTGTTCTTCCTTTCAAGGCTGAATATCCTCACTTCCTTTAAATTTTCCTTGTTGTTATTGTTATTATGTGCCGTCAAGTCGGGCCCGACTCATAGCAACCCCTCCTTGGGTTTCCAAGGCCGTATCACTACAGAAGTAGATTGCCCTATCTTCCTTCCGAAGAGTGGCTGGTGGGTTTGAACCGCCAGCCTTCTGGTTAGCAGTCAAGTGTCTTAGGCATTACACTACCAGAGCTCCTTTTTAAATTTTCCTTACACAACACAATTCACTAAATTCCTTCCCTTCAATCTAGTTGGGCTTTCCTTAAAATATTTTTGGTACAAAACATAAGTTGTTATTCCAGAAGGAATCTGACAACAGAGAATGGTGTAAAAGTACCACCAATCATGTTCTGGATTAAATTCTACTTTTAAAACAGTTATTTTAGTTTTTTAAAAAAAGTTTTAAAAAGTTATTATATAACTTTAAAGACTGTAGTCCTATGAGTAACTTCAGTTTGATTTAGATTCTCTTTTAGACAATAAATACTATGTAAAACATGTAACTACTATTAATAATTGGTGACAATTTTCCACTGAATGGATCATTTTAATGACAGTTGTTCCTGCCTCATAATTTAAACACTGGTTACTCATATTTTATCATTTAAACAAACATTAAGAAGGAAAATGGAGTCAATTCAAAGCAATAGCAGGATTACAGTAGAGACAGACCACACAGCCAAGTACAGGAGTTAAGAACATGAGCTCTGGAGCTAGACTCCCAAGCTTTAATCTTAGGTTTTCTCTTTCCTATGTGATATTGGGCTATTTTACCCTCCATGCCTCAGTTTCCTCAATTGTACAACAGAGATAATAACTGAACCAACTCCACATGGCAGTTGCAAAAATTATAAATGTGTATTTAACATATGCAACATATATACTTGAAATTCATGAATGGTAGATAGCAAGCACTGTAAGTGTTGGCAGTTATTTTTTATTGTTTGGTAGTTACAAGAAATTTAGAGTAATTTCATTTTCTTCTTAAACATAAATCAAATCTAAGACATTCAATAATTGAACTAAAGTCATACTACTGGTCAGAAAGGAGTTATGATTTCAGCCAGGTTTCCTAGTATTGAACATAAAACTAGTTCCTGCCACTTAATAATCTCATCACCTTACTTAGTTAAAAGACAACACACATACATATAAACACATCCATACATATGCACACACATACATCCCAATTAGTTATTTGAAGAAGTGGCTTATTTTTTTTCTTTTTGTGTAAATGTCAAATATTTCAAACAAAAAAGGTAAATTTATATATTTAAAAGGGCAAAGGAGATTTCCTCTGATTTAAAAAAAAAATAAAATAAAATACTTAAGTTTGAAAACCACTGCAGTAAAAGCTGCATGATATAATGTGACCTTGGGGCCAGAGGTCTGAGCTCTAGATGGACCAACCCGCACCATCTGCTATGTACCGGGCATACCTCATGAGTCTGTTTTCTTCTCCTCTGTATAAGGAAAGATTGAGGTAAATTATCTGTCTCTAGTGTTCAATAAGGAGCTCTGGTAGCATAGTGGCTAAAGCACTTGACTGCTAGCCAGGAGGCTGGCGGTTCAAACCCCCCAGCTACTCCTCAGAAGGAAGGTTGGGCAATCTTACTTCCATAGTGATACTGCCTTGGAAACCCAAGGAGGGGTCGCTATGAGTCAGGGCTGACTCGACGGCAAACAACAACAACAAAAGTGTTCAATAAATGTGTCCTTGTCTTGAGTTTCATTTTTATTCATCAATTACCCAATGCAGACAAACTCTAAACCAGAATGACAAGTATGGGACAAAAATCAGACACTATAGGACAAAAATCAGAAAATCCAGCTTTTTTCTGCCCTTAAAATCTATGTAAAACAATCCTTACAAAAAATTTCCAAGCAACTTTACTCATTTAAAGGGCCACAATGCCCTTCAGCTTTTTGTGATTAAGCAAATCCTGAGAACTGCATGCCATGTGTAAAGGATGATAAAAAGAAAACAAAACTCACAATCTAGTGCAGCATCAACCTAGTGGGGCAGGGAGTGGTGAGGGATGGGGCTGGAGAGGTAGACAGGAAGGAGCATGGAGGATTTTCCATCCCGTTAAGGAGCTTGACCTTGTCTTGTGAACTCCACTTTGTTTCTGACAGACTGACTGGGTAACTCATGCTCAGGTAACTGTCTTTCCCAGTGAGTTGCCATAAAGATGACATGGATACTTGTCATCACACCCCTCCTGTCCCATATCCAGCTCCTGGAGAGATGGTGGTTGTGAACCTCTGCTATAGTTATAGGCGGTTGATAAAAGACTAGCAGAAAAGTGATGAAGTGTATTTTAATTTGGCTAGATCTTACTGACGGCCATGTGTAAAAATGGATTTGAGATGAATGAGACAGAAGCAAAAGCCATGAGATTTCAGCAAGGTGGGGAGAAAGGAAAGGAAAGGCAGGAAGGAAAGAAGCAGAAAAAGCCAAGGAGAGAGCCCTCCTAGAAGGGAAATAAAAATAAAAATGGGCCAAAATGTAGAAAGAGAACCAGAAAAGTGCAATGTCAGAAAAGCCAAGGGAAGAAGACAGCACATACAATCTGGTCTCAATTAACTTGGAAAGGAGAAACAAGTTCTTATGTCAGCGAACCCCTCCAGAAAAATTCAGGACACTCCTTTTTGTACCACTTGGTCAAGTGAAATGAAGAGTTACTAATTACCCATGTTCCAGCTTTTCATATGCTTTAAATTCCTGTCTGCTCTTCTCTAAACAACTTTAATTCTTTTAACCTTCTTGCAAAGGTCTTATTTTTATTCTGTAATAATTTTCATTGCTCTTCTCAGGAACCCTGCCAAATGTTTCCACATCTTGCTTAAGTTGCCAAGCAGAGACTATTCTAAATAAGAATTTGACAAATGCTGAGTATATACAGACGATTAACTTTTGGTTGTTACATGCTAGTTTCTATTATACATTCTAGTTGCATATTTATTCTTTAAATAAACACACCACATCATGATCCCGCCTTATTTTACAGCCTCTTTCTAACTTCTCCTACCACAAATTGTCAATACATTATGCTTTTCTTATTCTTTGCAGTAGGAGGAAACTCAAATATAATAGAAACTGTAAGACTCAGAATGAAATCGACCCAGCCTGTGTAAGATGGCTCACATTGAACCAGAGAAACTGGTAAGGGTACTTTACAACAAATATTACTTTCTTAAAAAAAAAAAAGTCTTCAGAAAAGATTTACACGATCCGATGAATAGCACTTATTACCAGAAATATTAATCCCACAAACTCCATAGTAAGACAATCGGAGCTGGTTTTTGGAGTTTGTCTTGAGATTGTATATGTTTTATGAAAAAATAGAGGACTTTCACAGAATAGTGAAGACATTTGTCTGAAAAGGGATTTAGGGAGGAAAAATGTTCAAGAGCCTAAGGTAAGATTTGGGTATAAAAAGCCTAAAATTTCATAAAGAACATGAGGCTATTTAAGAAAAAAACGTTATTACTCCTTTTGTTCCTCATATAAATTGTTGGTTTTATGATAGCTATTTCCTCCAATGTATTAAAGTCTCTTGGTTTTGTAGTCAGTGGCAGTCCTCAATTAATAAGCACCTGACTTGACTTTTTTGGTGTACAGTTCTATGAATTTTAACACATGAACAGAGCTGTACAATTACCGCCAAAATCAGCATAGTTTCATCACTCCCTTAAAATCTCTTTGTGCTTTTTCCTTTATAGTGTCACACTTCCCCCCCATCACTAAGGCCCGAGCAACCACTCACCCATTCTCCACACTAGGGTTCTGTCTTTTCCAGAATGTCATATAATTGCTTCTTTCCCTTAGCATGCCTCTGATATTCATCCAAGTTGTTGCATGTATGTAATGTATCCACAGTTTGCTCCTTTTTATTGCTGAAAAGTACTCCATTGTATGGATGCACCAGTTTGTTTCTAACATGTGTGTAGTGGTGTCTACAGTGGTAGCACATACTTTGCTAGATTTAAACCTAAAAATTTCATTTTTTGTAGTGTAAAAGTTACTTGGGGGAAAAAATTTGGTTTCCAATTATTTATTGA